ACTGCCCCTCATCCATTACCCCTCAACCACTGCCCCTCAACCACTACCCCTCATCCATTACCCTTCAACCACTGCCCCTCAACCACTGCCCCTCAACCACTGCCCCTCAACCACTGCCACTCAACCACTACCCTTCAACCACAGCCCCTCAACCACAGCCCCTCAACCACTGCCCCTCAACCACTACCCCTCATCCATTACCCTTCAACTACTACCCTTCAACTACTGCACTAATTGCTGGGTCATTAAACATTGAGTGTAATTCACTGTATTACAGATACAATACATGTAAAATACATGTGAAATTTGTACAACCTCCACCCACATTTTGTTTCTATATTTTACATTCAACTAGTCAAAAATCAGTGAAAATAAATTCCATACAAGACACCCTAAAAGTATTTTACAGTATTTGCCATTGTAGCAACAGAACAATGAGTTGTCATGAATAAAACCCAAAGTCTCAAGCCTGTCAGCTAGTGTATCTTGAGTCTACCATTTGATACAATATATGTATTTATCATGTTTTTTATATTTATCCACTTTGTAGGAATTCATCTATGCTGCAAGAGACAGTTTAAGCAAGAACAAAGAGAAACTACAATCTCAGCAGCAGCAGCAGCCTAGCAGAGCACCTGCTGCTCCACCTGATATTCCCCCAAGAGGAGTGTCAGAGGAACAGGAACGATGGAATAAATTGTATCGCAAGATGACAGTCAAGGTTGATAAGGGTGCCAGGAAGAAGAAAGGTAATACAGGAATACGCCAAGATTACGTTAAATGTTGATGTACATGTACCATAATTGGTTGTCCATTAGAAACTTGGGAGTGGATGTTAGATTTCGAGAAAATAATACCCATCTGTTTGATCAGAGGAATTCAACAAGAAAGTACAAAAATTTACAGACACATCTGGGGAAAAAGATCTAGCTCAACTCTTAAACAAGCAGCCTGTCGGCTGAGATAGCTCCGCTGTTAGCAATGCACATGGCAATTAAAGAACAGAAGATATCATTAGAAAATGAACAAATCTGAGAGAGGTCCACATGTAGTACCTATATGTATAATATATCAAAGCAATTGGACTTGCGGTTTTCAACAAGAAGTCGAAAATATCACTTTTTACCAAAAATTACAAAAATATTCATCAAAATTAGAGAATTAAAGATATCATCATGAAATGAACAAATCTGAAAGAGGTCCACATGTAGCACCTATATATGTAATATCAAAGCAATTGGACTTGAGGTCTTTAACAAGAAGTCGAAAATATCACTTTTTACCAAAAATGACAAAAATATTCACCAAAATTAGAAAATTAAAGATATAATTACAAAATGAACAAATCTGAGAGAGGTCCACATGTAGTACCTATATATGTAATATCAAAGTAATTGGACTTGAGGTTTTTAACAAGAAGTCGAAAATATCACTTTTTACCAAAAATGACAAAAATATTCACCAAAATTAGAAAATTAAAGATATAATTACAAAATGAACAAATCTGAGAGAGGTCCTCATGTAGTACCTATATATGTAATATCAAAGTAATTGGACTTGCGGTTTTCAACAAGAAGTCGAAAATATCACTTTTTACCAAAAATGACAAAAATATTTACCAAAATTAGAGAATTAAAGATATCATTACAAAATGAACAAATCTGAGAGAGGTCTACCCAAGGTACATATACACCAAGTATATCAAAGCATTCAAGCTTGTAGTTTCAAGAAGAAGTCGAAAAAATAAAACATTGACACGGACGACGACGGACAATCACTCATATGATAAGCTCCGCTCGACAAAGTCGACAGTGGAGCTAAAAAAAAATAGTGAAGGCAGTTTTTCTATCGTCTTCTCTCCCATTGATTCTATTGGTAATCCCTGCAGACTTAAATCTTGAAGTCTGTTAATTTAGTTGACCAGCAATCTTTCTTTTATATTAGCATGGCATTTCAATCACAGCACCAACAAGACCTGGTCAAACAGTACGTCATGCACTGTTGATCTGAAAATGAAGAAATATATGTGATAGCATGTTTGTAAATCTTATCTTATGGTTTAATTTGGATCGCCGATGAGATTACTCATCTCTCTGATTGTATGGATGGATGGTCACTCCTGTGAATTTCGGTGTTCAACCCCCAGATAGAATTTGTCACTAATGGTTGTAAAAAATAAATGCATATTTGTGTAAACTTCAGTATCGGTTCATTAAATTTTAATATTTTATTTGTTTTGCATGTCTTGGTGCAGCGATAAGACGAGGATCTGAGGTAACCAGCTATTTTATTGTATTATAAACATTCAATTCATATATATTGCGCAATAATAACTAAACCTTTGTGAATATTGTTAACACCCATGCTTTTTATTCATGCCTGGTATAATATTAAGGATTTTTATGACAAGAGAATGTCATGAGTATAATGTGTAATGAAAGACCAATGTTTTAATTGTGTTTTATTTATTTTTTGTCAAAATTTAAGGAGTTTTCACGTGGTATTCAACGTCACGGACGTGACGGAAGTAATAGCAGTACAGCAAGTAGTAAGTGAAATTTAATTGTTGTACCATTACAAAATATTAATTGTTACAATGATGCAAGATTGTTACAGTAGTATAAGATCGTTACATCATAAAAGATCATTACATTATGATCATTACAGTTATGTAAGATCATTACATCATAACTGTTACAGTAGTGTAAGATCGTCACAGTAGTGTAAGATCATTACATTATGATCGTTACAGTTATGTAAGATTACTACATCATAACGTTTACAGTAATGTAATATCATGTAATTTCTTCTACTTCATCCTACAACAACTAAATGAACGTTAAATTGTAAATCAGAGGTTCTATGCATGCTACGTTTGCACTTTCTTGATTCCATACATTCTTTGAAGCTTGGCTGATTGTTGAACATTTATAAATATACTTTGCATGTGTCAAACTTTACAGAAATGAAATCTTATGACTTTGATCTTCAAAAGTAAGAAATAAGCTAAGATTTGAGTCACCTTCATTACTTTGAATCTTGCCAATGTATGTACTCAGCATGTATGAATATATATTTATCACAATTTTTAGAACTTCTCGTCTTACATTTGATAGTGTCCGTTTGTGTATAATTCTTTGGTCATTTCATCCCAATATGAGATACATTTCACAGTGCAAAGCTAGTGTGACTCTAGTATTGGGCAGTCTCTATTTCATGTGTAAACTTAAAAGTGATTATTACCTTCATTATTGCGTTTGTTGAAACTTAATAACATAGATTAGATACCTACCACATACAATTACTGTGTGTTCTATGAGTTGTATGAGCTTTATCTGACATTAATTTCAATGAAAGATGTCGTCGTTATCATAGAAACAATTGCTAATAATAATAATTTCTTTATTTTAAGCGTGGTAGTCATCGAGCAGTGCGTGTTCATTGTATACGTCGCTATGAGTCCCATACCGAACAGAACACGGCATGACGATCACCGCCCTTTAAGCAATAATGAATCCCCAACAGTGTGGTATTCCAAGATCAGAATAAGGACCTATGGCATAATAATATGTGTGAGGCAAAATCTAACACATGATAGAATCTAGACCCTTAAGGTAGAAGCCTACTCATACCGGGGGTAAATTAAAATACCAAGAATTTATTTATTTTGCAATACAAGGATATTGACCTAAAAAAAATTGGGGTCACCAGCCTTTTTTTCGAGAAAATGATGGTTATATTTTAGTGGAAAGTCGCCATTTTTACACTATTATAACACTTTTACCATAGGTTCCTACGGCAGAGATATTATTGCAATATCTCAAAATCTAGCCTGGTGACATAGGCTGAAAAAATCATTT